ATAAATAGTAGCATTCAAAAATAAATACAAAACATTCATTTAAAAATTCAAAATCTGACCAAAAGTTTTATGGGTTACCTATAACACTGAATGGCAGATTGAAATATTCATATTAAAAAGTGAATATATTTTAGCTCCAATTTGATAGATTTTTACTCCAATTTGCTCCCCATCCTTCTTCCTGGGATCGGACCCACTGTCTGAGGTAGCCAGCTCACCTTATTTCATAGAGGTTATGTTACTGGGGATTTTTGGATTACAAAAAATGATTGTTAATATTATTGTAATTATTTTTTTAACAGAAACAATATACTGTGTAAAACAAATGACTGCATTTATTTAATTAGCCCTGTGGTGTTCATTTGACATCACCTAAAATATATTTATATAAGCAGTATTACTTGAATAAACAATGGCAACTCTTCTAATCACTTTGAAACCAGCAAAAAGGAGGGTGTACATAGGTAGGGCAATATACAAACCAATTCAAAAGGTCCCTTAACATAAGATAGCCAGAAACAAAACTAACTATTGTCAACTACTCAGGTTAAAAACAGAGGTTTTTGCTGCACACATTTGCAAATACATGTTTGAGTCACACTGCCACCTCAAGCTAACTTTAACAAACACATTTATTATACTTCAGATTACATTTCTACTTTGTATGATATATACAGCAGTTAAGATCAAATCCGGATGTGTCAAACCTACACAGCTATTTACATAGTTAGCCAGGTTGAAAAAAAGACATGAAGTTCAACCGATAGAGAAAAACAACAAAAAAATAGATAAACTTCCATAAACATAACCCTATGCCCACAGTTACCCACAGATGATCCAGAGGAAGGCAAATAAATCCTTGTCCAGGGCAAACAAAATCCATCCTGATCCCATAAGGCAATCAGATATTCCCTGTATCGACAATCTCTGGTGTTTATTTTACTTATAAAAAGTTAATATCCAGTAATATTCTGTGCATTTAGGAATACATCCAATTTTCTTTTAAATAGTTAACTGAGCTAGCTAAAACTAGCTCCTGAGGGATTCTATTCCACATTTTCAAAGCTCTAACTGTGAAGAAGCATTTCTGTATGCAAAGGTTAAACCACCTTTCATCCAGAAACAAAAAGTGCCCTCTTGTCCTTTCCAGTAAATGTAAAATTAATAATTTTGCACCAGACTCACTATATATACCATTTATATATTTATACATGGTGATAATATCCCTCTTAATTGCCTCTTCTCAAGTAGGAACAAAGTCAGGTCAGCTAATCCTTCCTAATAGCTTAGCTCCTCCATGCCTCCTATGAGTTTAGTTGCCGTCCTTTGCACGCTCTCTAGTTCCACAACATCCTTTTTCTGAACTGGTGCTCAAAACTGAACTGCATATTCCAGATGAGGTCTTACTAATGCTTTTTACAGGGGTAGGATTATGTCTCTATCTCTGGAGTCAATGCCCCTTTTCATACAAAAAAGTATTTTACTTGTTTTAGAAACTGCGGTTTGACATTGCATGCTATTATTGAGTCTTTGGTCTACCAGATCAAGCAGATCCTTCTCAATCATTGACTTCCCCAACTGTACTCCCCCTAGAGTGTATGCCAAATGCATGTTTTTAGTTCCCAAGTGCAAAAATTTACATTTATCAACATTACACCTAATTTGCCACATAGATGCCCAAACAGGTTTGCTTGTTAGATGGAGACAGCTTGTAAGGACTGTATTTAATTACGTAGCTTGGTGTAATCTGCAAACACAGAAATTGTACTCTAATTCCAAACTTTAGGTGTAAGACATCTGTTTCAGGTGCTTTGTTCACCTTAATTTTGTCTTATTCACCTTTATTTTGTCTAACTGTTTCTGAACCATATCAGTTTTGATCCATTGTGGTGTGAGTGTGGTTAGTGCCTGTGGCACTGCCATCCCCATAATGGATTTGAGTTAAAACATACTCCTTTGTGCAAAGCTAAATAAAGTATTTAATAGATTTGCCTTCTCTTTGTCCCCAGCTACCAACTCTGAGTTATCTTGTAAGGGGCCTACATGCTCGCACGTAACCTTTAATATATTTAAATCATTTTTTGATTTTGTCTAGCACTCTTTTGCAACCTGTCATTTGCTTTGACTCTTTGCAAACAAAAAACATCTGGATGTATTCTTAAATGCAGAGACTATTACTGGATATTGAGTTACTATAGGTATATTAGGCATCAGAGATTGTTTATCCAGGGAATATCCGATTGCCTTATGGGATCAGGAAGGGATTTTTTTCCCTGTTGGAGCAAATTTAACCATGCTTTATAGGGTTTTTTTTTCCTTCCTCTGGATCAACTTTGGATGCTAGACATTGCATGCTATTATAGCTGTGGGCATAGCATTCTTTTTTAGGTTTTTCTTTTTTTTCCCATATCTCTATAGGTTGAACTCGATGGACATGTGTCTTTTTTCAACCTGGCTAACTATGTAATCTTTTTTACATATTTTGTATAGTCTTTGTAACTTTTAAATGACAACAGTGTTCCTTCATTTTTATATTTTCCAAATACCCTTTTCTTATTTGTTATGGCTTTTTTTAACATTGAATGTGAGCCCCATAAATTTTACTTTTAGCATTTTAAACTTATTGTTCCCAGGAATATATTTTGCAGTATTTTTGCAAACAGCTGTTGGGAAACATTCCCATTTCTGTTCTGTGGTGTTTGATGACAAGATTCCCTCCCAATCTAAGTCTAGGAGAGCAGCCCTCAGCAGTGGAAAATGTGCTCTCCTGAAGTTGTGTTTTTATTTTTCTACTATGTGCTCATTGTTTACAAGTTAAGTTAAATAACGTTGTATTGTGGTCACCGCTACCCAGTTGTTCTTTTATATGTACATTTATAATAAGCTCTGCTTTTTTTGAGATTACCAGATCCAGCAGAGCATCATCTATAGTTGGGGCTTTAATAAACTGTGCCGTAAAATTGTCTTGCAATAGGCTTATAAAACTATATTAAAAATTTAAACTTGCAAAGTTACTTTCAATATTGTGAACAAAGACTGGATAAATGTATTTAGCTAAGAACTTTGGTTAATAATTCATAAATGTCTAATGCTGTTCTTGACTGTGTAATTGCAAGTCAGATCTTGATTTTTTTAATTTCACAGAGATCAATTCCTTATTTAAAGCATGCTCATTGTACATAATTAGAATATAGCACAGCCTTTTTACTCTAGTGTAACAAATAAAGATTGTTTAATATTGACCATGCAATATGTTATTTCAATTCTGTATAGCTAAACAAGCAATAAATAAGAATGCAAAGATGGTCACATGAAAAGTGACATAAGATTTTTTAAATTCTGTTAATCACTGTGGATCACTGATAATAATATATTTATTTTTAATCATTAGGAGCATTGCTTCCAGTGCCAAAAACTAGTTTTAAAAAGCTAGTTCTCTACTTACTCTGACCCCTAACTTTAGTTTTCTTTCATAAGGGAGGCCAGAGTAAGTAGGGAAGCAGATGCGGCCCCCATTGGGAATGAATAATGGGTACTTGTACTAAAGGGTTAAAGAAAAATTCCACACTTTTGTAAAAAAAAGTTTATTAAACAAAAAAAATACCCAGTTTTTGACAATTCTTTTAATTAGAAAAAAAATGTCCCCCAAAAAAGATCCAACGTTGTAATTCAGGGTCAATCACGATAACAGATGAGCACTGACTCATCGAAAAAAAAATACCGCCCGTGGACCCAACCACTCCCGACGTACTCACTACGCTAAATAATCGATTTGACAGTTGCCGGCAAAATCTAAACAGATGACATCACCAATGGCTCCGCCTATCTGCCATTCAACCGACACCTGTCAAATCACTCTAGGAAATATGCAGTGTGGGAAAATATGAAAATTGTAACATAGAGCTTTAAAATAGAAACCTATACTGCCTAAAATGTATTTGGAGACTACAGCATATATAAACAATCTAATAAATTATCAAGGATGTAAAACATAAGGGCAGAAAAGAAGTTCAGAAATAATACTTAAAGAGATATGTTAATTAATTAGTCATTAGCACTTCTGTTTTCCAGCCTTGGGTGTTATCCATTTAAGTCCTGGTCAGAGCACCATCTGCATGGAGTTTGCATGTTCTCCCTACGCTTGCATGGGTCTCCTCCAACACTCCAAATACATGCTAGTAGGTAAATTGGCCCTAGTATAATATTCTACTGAGCTGGCCTAAGATGGCTGCCCTACCATCTGCCACAACAGCAGATAACATGCTTTGATTTCCCATGGAGAAAAGCACTATAGAAAAATTAATTATTAAAACATTTTTTTCTATAGAATATTTTTGTTTTAAATATAACAAAGTATCCAAGTTTCCTTGTGAGTTTTTTTAACTGCTCATGGACTGTCCGCTGTCTTAAAACAGCTGGTCTGCTGGCCCATTATCTGAGAGGATATACCATGAATGCATGTCTGCGCATGGCTGTGGCCGCTGCTCCCAGCTGGGAGCTGCGGCTTTACACACAGAGCTGACAGCCAATCACAGCAATCACATGGCAATTTCTCAAATTATTTGGTAAAATATATAGTAAAAATTAAAAAGTGGGTATTAAATACCACTAAAAGAAAGTTCTATATGACCACCAAAAAATTACATAAAATTAATTTTGTTACAGTGTTGCATAATGGAGGAATGCTCAGCCAAACTTGCACAGCACTGAAAAATGAACTGGTAATGAAGGGGGTGTAAAATGCCGGTACTGAAGTGAAAGACCCATTCAGTGATTATGCAAGGCAAAGGCTGCAATCTCATTTGGTTTGTTTCTTCAACTATATTGTTCTATAATAGTGTGCGATTCTGTACTCATATTTTATATGCATAGTCAGTTTAAGTCAGAAAATGTTTTTGCAACCCAAAATGAAAAGTAAGGTCATTTTTAAAAATAGGTAAAATTACAAAAATGCATTTGTCTGCTTCACATAATTATACATGTGCTTCTTTTGCTTCCAGGTTTTGATTTAATAAAATGTGAGGATCCAGGAATACCAAACTATGGTTACAAGATTCGGGATGAGGGTCACTTTGCTGATACAACTATTATGTATAGCTGTAACCCAGGTTATACAATGCATGGGAGCAGCATTCTGACCTGTCTCAGTGGAGATCGAAGGGTGTGGAATAAGCCTTTACCAACATGCACTGGTAACACAAAATTTTTTCCTATTTTCTCAAAACAGATAGAGTTTTGCATGCAAAAGAATTGTTTTCTTAACAAGTATAGAATGTTTATTCACAATATACATGTCATTTAGCTTAGTGAATAAAGTATAGCTATGTACTCAGAAAAAGCAATAAAGTGCCAGGGTAATTTGCTTGCATGTTATTGGGTAATTAAGGTGAACACCACCTCCCCATTTTTGTGAAGCTAAGTAAACATTCACTTTGGAAAGTGAAAACTCTGATGTTGATTAACTAAAGGAATTAGAGACTGTTCAGCAAAATTAATGTTAATTTGGGATACTGTATACAAAGTGAATATTCCCTTAGCCAAGTAATTAAGTGAAGATGTGTTTTTGCTTTGAATACCAATCATCTGCAAGGGGATTTAGAAACATTTTTTGTAACTAGCACATGATTGAATGGTTTAAGTAAACCCAGCGTCATCTTATTCGCTAAGTAAAGTGTACAATCACTTTGCTAAGTGAACAGTCCCTATCCTTTCATAAAATACATCTACAGTGCCCATTTAGTAAATGTGTCTCACTGCTTAAAGTGTATTTCCACTTTTGCTGTCAAATTGGGATACCATCCAGTTTATATGTTTTACAAGTTTGCATTCACATAGCATAATAAAAAATGCTGCCTACATATTACTTGCTCTTTGCTAAAAGAAAATATTTTTCTATTAACTGATTTTCCTCTGGATACATAAGGGGCTAGGGAGGTTCAAGTTTATCACAATTAACCCTGTCTGCACCGTGCTTGCAGATCTCATTAACAGTTGTTAACTAAAATTAAACACTGACTGTCCTAACAAAAATCTAAAGATCTAGAAGCATTGTATGTTAATAAGAAAAAGCCCAGGGTGCCCCTTGTCATTCTATGGGGACAGCCAGAGTTTCCTGTCACTTTGAAATTCTAGAGTGATGCTTACAGTCTGTCCAAAGGTCTGTTTACAGAGACATCTAAAATGTCTAAAAAGAAGTATTAAAATATATATTGTTAATATTTTGTTTACATTTATATTTTTTATGTGTTCGCATTTACACAGCTGTGTGAATGCGAACACATAACAAACACATAGTGGGGTTTTCTAGAAATGTGACTGTAAAGTATATATACACTTTATGCTTATACATAACATTCCTGAACTCCTAGATATTGCACACTATTGTACAGCACCCCCTCGGTTCTCCCGAACCGAAGGGGTCCTGGTGCCGAAGCTAGCCGAAGGATCGGCCGAAGCTACGGCCAGATCCTTCGGCAGCTTTGTGAATAGACCCCTATGTAAATTATTCCAAAAAAGAAGATATCATATTGGATTGCTTTAATAAATTACATTTGAAGTAAATAAAAATTAATAGTTTAAATTCATATGCTATTTGTGCAGCTGAATGTGGAGGTCGGATTTATGCTGTTGCATCAGGACGCATTCTGTCTCCAGGTTACCCAGCACCATATGAAAATAATGTTCACTGCACTTGGATTCTTGAAGCAGATCCAGGGAAAACTATCAGGTAAGCTATATAAAAAAATATCCTATACAGAAACAGTCACCCCTCGTATTTTCTGACAGAAGTGTTAATGCTGAACTCCAGCCCAGATAGCAAACAATTGAGCTGCAAGTTTGAAAATGACTTGCTAAAGTATTGCTAGACTTGCCAAGCTTCACAATTTTGTTGCACAATTACAGAAAGTCTGCATTGCAAGTCTCCAGATCAATGTGCTTTGCAAAAGTGCTGTACACTCGCAGAGCTCTTGCTAAGACCTGCAGGACTCGTGCTGTAGACTTGCCAAGCAAATTTGCTACAAACTAGAACTTGTGCTGCAAGTGTTCTGCAAGTCTACAACTTGCCAGTAATGTGTGCAGCAAGTTAACAAGAATTCAATTTAACCCTGCCAGAAGTTTGTGGCAAGTTATCCTTGCTATCTGGGAGCCTTACCATCTTGCACAGAGCTTTTCACAGTATGCACTAGAAGCTGCAGCAAGCCAGATAAAGCTTGCCTCATTCCCTGGCTGGAGTAAATCATCATTATCTAACCCTTTCTTCCTCAATCATACCATTCCTGGCCCGCACCTTTCATTCATTGCATTTCAGTTATTTTAATCATGGTGGATTGGATCATTGGATCATGGAAACTTGGATCATGGGTTACAATCAGTATTACATGTGGGCATTACCTACAGTGGTCTGCATGCTAATACAGCCTTCCTGGTGATGTCACTGGGTCCAAAAAAAGGTATGTGATAAACATAGAAGTTAATGAGGGTTAAAGGAAGAGCCAGGGAAGGTAAATTCTAATAAGCTTAAAATTCTACTTAACTTTGAACATAACAGTCTTTACAAAACATTTTTGTATATTAGGGAAGGTTTAGAAAATCTGCCAGCTTTTAGTGTTGTCTGTGTGCCCACTCAGTCCATATGGACCATTTATTGAATCTGAAATTTAGAGGAAATCTCTGAGCAGGGTCACAAACAGCAATAAAAGAGAGAAAAAAACTGGCAGAGTCTAATCTTTCCTCACACGTCTGAAAAATAAACGTCTCTGTTGTTGTCCTAAAAATATTAAATAAGCATGCCTTACCAAGATATATACCATGTATTCCAGACATAAATGTAAGTTTAGTTGACTGCATCTCGTGTTGTTTATTTAGTCATAAATATACTTCCAAGCCGTGTATAAATGCTGTTTACACACACTGACTTCTGTTGACCTTTAAAGTATGACTATGGGCAAAACAAAAAAATGCATATATGATGCAGTCCGTCAATACTTTCTAACCCCCCCGCCCCCCATAGTATAGTTTTATTATCTGTTGATTCTCCTAGTAGATGTGCTATTTTTCCTATCTGTATTATGATGACAACACTGTTTGTTCTTCACTGAAATCACACAATGTTGCTATTCTGTGGGGCAGGATAGTCTTAGATGGACTTTAAATGGGCAAACATATTAAAGGCTAACACCAGCTAACAGTTTTATACAGTTACAGCTAAAGTGTATTTTTAAATTTTGGTAAAAAAGGTTTAAGCCATATGAAAAAAATATAACTTTGGTAAGAACCCCTTGGTATATGGTTTGTCCCAACCCTGTATGTGTCACTTTTGCTATGCAGCTTAGACTGTTAGAGGAAGTGAACAATAACAGACCTAACGATAGCATCAACAGGTAATAAACCAACATTACAGGAAGGACAAAATTGGCTGTTGTACTATTAGTGGCAGACTGCAAATTTCATGTAACATTTTATTTGTTAGTGGTGAGAACACACTTTTTATTATTTAGAGAATCTAAGAGCAACTTTGTCTGAATATAAAAATCTTCTCATACCAAGAGCCATATAGCATTTTCTCAAAATGCTTGTTGGTATTTTGGAACAAGTGGGGTTGATCTACTAAAGGCAAATAGGCTGTTCACCTTGCATGAGAATTTGCACTTTGCAGGGGAAGTTTCCCATCAGCTTATTATTATTATTATACAGGATTTATATAGCGCCAACAGTTTGCGCAGCGCTTTACAACATAGCCAGTTATGTGCAAGCAAATATACTTTTTTTAAATTTTCCTTGCTCGTGATTGGGTTTTCTTTGCTAAGTGGAATTTTACCACAGTCACAGAGCTAAAGGAAAATTCCCCTGCAAAGTGACCTGCTTATTAGGCTTTAACAAACAAACCTCTGTGAGTCTAACAGCATTGTGGCTCATTCCAAGTGTGCACCATGCATATCATGTTTAACACAAGGCAGTGCTACTGATGGCGATAATATAAATTTGAAAATCTGTCGGAAGAATAGTTTGTGCCTACTCACATAATGTGGCATTTCTAAGAAAAATTTACAAATATTACATCTATTATGTGGAGATTTGGGGTTTTTCTGTATCTTTTTAAGATATATTTTTGTTACTATAAACACTATGCTTTATAAATTGCATTGGAAATTGATTGCTGAATTTTCCTCACTTCCATAGGATTTCTATTCTGGTATAAAATGTAGGGGGTTATTCACCATTGAGCCAAAGGATACAGCTGTAGCTTTGGATGATCCTTCAGCTTTCTTCACAATAGCCCGTAGAGCAGTCGACTGAGCCGAAGCGGGGCGAACAGCCTGCCAAAGGCTGGCCGTTCAGCCCACAAATGACAGCTAGACGGAGCCAGCCATGATCTCATGACCGGCTCCACCCAGTTGTAATGACAGATCAGCATCCCCAAATGACCTGGGGTGCTGATCTGTCATTAAACAATAACAACTGGGCGGAGCCAGCCGTGAAATGGCCGGCTCCGCCCAGTTGTTATTCATTGGGACTTGCTAGAATACTCTAGTAGGTGTCGGCCAATCTTTTTCAAGAGCCCGTGGATGTGCATCATAAAACAAACTTCCCCCTGTGAACAAAAAAAGTGAACCGTGAAATCACAGCACACAAAAATGTGCACAAGGGTGCTTGGTCCTTCAATAAAGAAGGGACCTCGAATTCCTGACCCCCCGGGGGGCAAGGCTCCTGACAGGGGTTGAGATACTTTGGTCCACCAACCCGGATGCTGGCGGACCCCAATCCTTCAGGGACCTGCCGAAACAGGTCCCACCAAGTACTAGGTAGGGAGCTCTCCCGAAGAGAGACTCCCTGGTTCGGGAGGAGGCAGAGAACCCTATATTAGGGCACAGAACCTCCTCCCCTGCATCGGGAATAGGGCCCGAAGGTACCTGCACCCTAGCACTCCGTGGGTCAAAATTTACAAAAACACAAAAATGTGCCAATCGTGCATGAGGTGCAATAAATAAAGGAATAGTGCCAGTGCACCACGCTGACAGGCCCTAGGGGCCGGGTGCCAAAACAATGCCCCGGACTAGCCATAAGGCCTGTCCAAGAGGCGTTGTGCAGAAATTGCAAGGTGGTGTGTGCACAGTGAGTCATGTGGGTTCCCACACCCAAGTGACTTTCTGAGCACCCCTGGGACGCCGCCCACAAGGGGGCACAACACCACGGGCTCTGCCGCCTCCCTACCCTCCGGCCAGACCCAGTGTTTCTCCGTTCATACCAGGAGGTAGTGCCATCGGGGGTCCTCCCGCTGTCTGGGGTCTACCTGTAAACCTCAGAGCCTGACGCAACCAGCAGCGGATAGAACCATCCTCTGACACCCGCCAATTACGCCAGAGGGTACTCGAATGCTCTCCTATAGGGCAGCAGCATCCTTTCCCCTCCAACAACTGATAAGAACAGATACTATACTTGATCTTAGCCAAAAGGCCGAGAAGGTGTCGGCCAATAGGAAACAGTTGGACAGAGCCAGCTGTCACTGCTAGGTCCACCCAATTGTTTTTCTTTTTTTATTATTTCTTTTTTAATATCTTTATTTCTTTCTTTTTAAATGTTACCATTCATTTACATTTTTTAAATATTGTTTCAACTTTTTTTCCCCACTTTTTTCCCCCACTCTTTTCACTGATTTTCTATTCTGCTCAGTACCACAGAGGTACCGAGCAGAAGAGCCGAATGCCGCTTGGAGGCATTCTGCTATTCCCTCACTGCCGTTCGGCCCCTATGAGAATAGGGGCGAACGGCAGCGACTGAGCTGCCAGAGCTTTGGCTCAGCCAATCCAGATGTTGGATCGGCTGAGTCGAACTGCACTTCGGCTCAGCTAGTTCATTTGTGTTTATAACATTGTTATAGAATGTGCCAAAATGCATGCTTCTGACATTCCTGTGTATAAATCCAGTATCTTTTATACCTTATGTATGTTTTGTCTTATTTTAAAAAATATTGCACAGTAAAAATAAATGTTTTTTTTAATGTATTCCCTGTGATGAATATGTAACATCATTACAGGTGTATTTCTGTTCACTCCAGGAAGCCATAAGCAAGCACAGATAAATCTGTAATAAAAATAATCACAAAGTACTAAAGAAGAGTTGAACTGTGGAAACTGTGCCCTGGAAAAGATAGGCTGAGTACAAAGGACTAGTAACCAGTATTGGCAGTGGTCTCCCTGAAGCTGTCCTTTACTGATTTACCATGCCTTTTTTCTCATCTGTGTCTCATTGGGGGGGGGGGGCATTTTAGCAGAGTCAGGACTTTGCTGTGTCAGAGCCTCTAGCAAGGAGAACAGTGATCAGCACAGTAGTGACATCACCAAATCTCACTCCAAAAATAGCAGTTAAAAAACAGAAGTGCCTTAAAAAATCTCACACTGCAGATATACAGCAATGAGGCTGTATGCACAGGAAAACCTAGGCACCCTAATTTACCAGGAAATATACTGTTATTTTTCAGGAAGAATTCCAGGCAAAATGCCTTTTTCAGTGTATTCCATAGGCACAATTTATATTTCTAGATGTTACATGTGATATAACAAATCTTCAAATATTGAGTTCAGGTCCCCTTAAAGTTGTCCTAACAGATCACTAATATTTTACAAGTGCCACCAGCCAGGCTACTTGACCTCTGCTAATGTGTTGACATTAAGTTGGTGGAGCATGCCTAAACACTGTATGGATCGCTCACATTTCTTGTATGAAAAAAATTGGTCAAAAGTGTTTCCTGCACACTGGGAAAACTTTACAACTAACCATGCCTGGAGTTGTTTATGTATAGGCTCCACCTCCCAATTAACAATAATAATGTTTAAATTAGTGACATCCATGAGTTAACGCGATTTAACAGCCTTTGAACGTGGGATGATTGTTGGCGCTCAGAGCCATGGATCGAGTATCAGCAAAACAGCAGAAATCATTAAATGTTCAAGAGGGGCTCATTGTTAAAGTGTTTAAAGACTGGACTGTCAAACTCATCCGGAGAAGATGGCGCCGCAAAAGGTGAAAAGGACACCGAAGGAAAAGAGATCCAAAAAGGCTGCTTGGAGGTTTACTCTGGATCTTACCCATCCTGTAGAAGAAGGAATCTTTGACTCTGCCAATTTTGAACAGTTTCTCAAGCAGAGAGTGAAGGTCAATGGGAAAACTGGAAATCTTGGGAACGTTGTTCATATTGAACGTCAGAAGAACAAAATTAACGTTGTTTTGGAAAAGCAGTTTTCTAAAAGGTACCTAAAGTACCTCACCAAGAAATACCTAAAGAAGAACAGTCTGCGGGACTGGCTACGTGTAGTTGCATTGAATAAGGAGACCTATGAGCTCCGTTACTTCCAGATCGGCCAGGATGAGGAGCCTGAAACTGAAGAATAAATGTCAAATAAACATCTTTCTTCATAAAAAAAAAAAAGACTGGACTGTCAGCCGAAAATCTGGATCTGAACGTGCGAATAGTGGCCTTCAGTGACTAGTCAATGTTAGGGCAGAACGGAGAGTGGCAAGACTGGTACAAGACAACAGAAGGGCAACAGTGAAGGGTCAGATTCCTTGCATCACCTTTCAACATCTCGTGGAGGCGGCCCAACGAAGTCATCTCGTGGAGTTATCTCGTGGCCCAACGAAGTACTGATGGGGTGGTCATAATAATCTGGCCACTCAGTGTATATCTATCTATCTATCTATCTATCTAGATAGATAGATAGATAGATAGATAGATAGATAGATAGATATCAAGAGACTATTGGGGTTTAGTGAGGCATCATGGCACAAGTACAATTGAAAAAAAGATTTATTAATAAATATTAATACATGATTGCATTAAAAAAATACATTAGTTTATGTATTCATGTATGACTATGTATTAATCATTTTTTTTTCTATTCCACTTGTGACATGACTATGACGCCTCACTAAATCCCAATAGTCTCTTGATATGCATATTTTAAAACCTAATTAAAGTATCCAGTTGAAGTACCTTTAAATACCTTTTTCATTCAGTAAGGTCCTGCATGCTGCACTCATATTCTAATGGCCTGTGCTAGTCAAATACCAGTCACATCCCTAAGCACAAGCACAAGATTTGTATTGCACAGAAAGAGGGTGTGTCTTATTAGATCTGTTAATGAGTGTTGATTACTGAGTGCACTGGGTCTAACTCTGGTGCCTAATGGACTGCATTGTCATATTGTCAGATACCCTGAACATCTGCTGTAATTGGACAATGAAGGTAAGACTATGAAAATAGAAGTTGTTAGTGCCACTTCTGTCTGATCAGATATCAGTTTTTGTGACATCTCTTGGATATAATTTGGGAAATGGATGAGTTGATTTTTATGAATAATTGTCAAAATGAGGAGAAGGCCGGGCTCGCAGTCTCCGCTATAATTCATCCCAAAGGTGTTCTATCGGGTTGAGGTCAGGACTCTGTGCAGGCCAGTCAAGTTCCTCCACCCCAGACTCACTCATCCATGTCTTTATGGACCTTGCTTTGTGCATTGGTGCACAGTCATGTTGGAACAGGAAGGGGCCATCCTCAAACTCCTCCCACAAAGTTGGGAGCATGAAATTGTCCAAAATGTCTTGGTGTGCTGGTGCCTTAAGAATTCCCTTCACTGGTACTAAGGGGCCAAGCCAACCCCTGAAAAACAACCCCACACCATAATCCCCCCTCCACCAAACTTTACAATTGGCACAATGAAGTCAGGCAACCGCCAAACCCAGACACGTCCATGGGATTGCCAGACAGAGAAGCGTGATTCATCACTGGGCCATGGAAACCCATTCCATGAAGTTCTCTACGCACTGTTGTTGTGCCAATCTGAAGGCCACACGAAGTTTGGAGGTCTGTAGCTATTGACTCTGCAGGCAGTTGGCAACTTCTGCGCACTGTGCGTTTCAGCATGCGCTGACCGCGCTCTGTCATTTAACGTGGCCTAACACTTCGTGGCTGAGTTGCTGTTGTTCCCAGTTGCTTCCACTTTGTTATAATACCACTACCGTGGAATATTTAGTAGCAAGGAAATCTCTCGGAACACCTGAATCCAATGATTTGGAGGGGTGTCCCAATACTTTTAGCAATATAGTGTATATATACTATACTGAGATAACTGAAAAACAAAACAAGAAGGGGCGCCTTTCCTGGTGCAAATCAATTTATTCAACAATTGGTAAAATGTAATCTAACAGGTACTCACAAGAGTAGAATATCAACGAGCATTAGGACAGTAGAGAGACCGGACCAGAGACATCCGTGTGATACGTCCTATGTACAGATCAGTAAAGAGAAGTGTCTTTACCGGAGACATCCGTGTGATACGTCCTAAGTACAGATCAGTAAAGAGAAGTGTCTTTACTGTGTCTTTAATAGAGAAGTGTCTTTACCGGAGACGTCCGCGTGATACGTCCTATGTACAGATCAGTAAAGAGAAGTGTCTTTACTGATCTGTACATAGGACGTATCACACGCATGTCTTCGGTCCGGTCTCTCTACTGTCCTAATGCTCGTTGATATTCTTCTCTTGTGAGTGCCTGTTAGCTTACATTTTACCAATTGTTGGATAAATAGATTTGCACCAGGAAAGGCGCCCCTTCTTGTTTTGTTTTATATATATATACACTGAGTGACCAGTTTATTATGACCACCTGACGTTTGTAGGCAATTTAGCTATAATTAGCTATAATTTCACACTGAAGTTGCTAGAGGGCCAGACCATTATAAATAGGGAAGCAGGTTGTTTACCACGACAGTAGAAGTGATTTTTTTCTGAAGATATGGGTAAACAACGCGATTTAACAGCCTTTGAACGTGGGATGATTGTTGGCGCTCAGAGCCATGGATCGAGTATCAGCAAAACAGCAGAAATCATTAAATGTTCAAGAGGGGCTCATTGTTAAAGTGTTTAAAGACTGGACTGTCAAACTCATCCGGAGAAGATGGCGCCGCAAAAGGTGAAAAGGACACCGAAGGAAAAGAGATCCAAAAAGGCTGCTTGGAGGTTTACTCTGGATCTTACCCATCCTGTAGAAGAAGGAATCTTTGACTCTGCCAATTTTGAACAGTTTCTCAAGCAGAGAGTGAAGGTCAATGGGAAAACTGGAAATCTTGGGAACGTTGTTCATATTGAACGTCAGAAGAACAAAATTAACGTTGTTTTGGAAAAGCAGTTTTCTAAAAGGTACCTAAAGTACCTCACCAAGAAATACCTAAAGAAGAACAGTCTGCGGGACTGGCTACGTGTAGTTGCATTGAATAAGGAGACCTATGAGCTCCGTTACTTCCAGATCGGCCAGGATGAGGAGCCTGAAACTGAAGAATAAATGTCAAATAAACATCTTTCTTCATAAAAAAAAAAAAGACTGGACTGTCAGCCGAAAATCTGGATCTGAACGTGCGAATAGTGGCCTTCAGTGACTAGTCAATGTTAGGGCAGAACGGAGAGTGGCAAGACTGGTACAAGACAACAGAAGGGCAACAGTGAAGTGTCAGATTCCTTGCATCACCTTTCAACATCTCGTGGAGGCGGCCCAACGAAGTCATCTCGTGGAGTTATCTCGTGGCCCAACGAAGTACTGATGGGGTGGTCATAATAATCTGGCCACTCAGTGTATATCTATCTATCTATCTATCTATCTAGATAGATAGATAGATAGATAGATAGATAGATAGATAGATATCAAGAGACTATTGGGGTTTAGTGAGGCATCATGGCACAAGTACAATTGAAAAAAAGATTTATTAATAAATATTAATACATGATTGCATTAAAAAAATACATTAGTTTATGTATTCATGTATGACTATGTATTAATCATTTTTTTTTCTATTCCACTTGTGACATGACTATGACGCCTCACTAAATCCCAATAGTCTCTTGATATGCATATTTTAAAACCTAATTAAAGTATCCAGTTGAAGTACCTTTAAATACCTTTTTCATTCAGTAAGGTCCTGCATGCTGCACTCATATTCTAATGGCCTGTGCTAGTCAAATACCAGTCACATCCCTAAGCACAAGCACAAGATTTGTATTGCACAGAAAGAGGGTGTGTCTTATTAGATCTGTTAATGAGTGTTGATTACTGAGTGCACTGGGTCTAACTCTGGTGCCTAATGGACTGCATTGTCATATTGTCAGATACCCTGAACATCTGCTGTAATTGGACAATGAAGGTAAGACTATGAAAATAGAAGTTGTTAGTGCCACTTCTGTCTGATCAGATATCAGTTTTTGTGACATCTCTTGGATATAATTTGGGAAATGGATGAGTTGATTTTTATGAATAATTGTCAAAATTCTTTTTTTATATCCACATAGAAGCCAGAAGAATTATTCTTTTTGCGTTCTGTTTTTTTTTTCAGTGCTTTCCATTTTAACATTATATTTTCAGAGACAGAACAATGCATATTTTAGTAGTTACAAGACTAAACATTATGTATACGTTCTTGTTTTTTTTCCAGCCTTCACTTTATAGTTTTTGACACTGAAGTATCACATGATATCCTCAAGGTATGGGATGGACCTTTAGACAGCGATGTTCTTCTGAAAGAGTGGAGTGGTTCTTCTCTCCCTGAGGACATTCACAGCACATTCAACTCTTTGACATTACAGTTTGATAGTGATTTTTTCATCAGCAAGTCTGGTTTTTCCATACAGTTTTCAAGTGGGTATAACAAGATGCATTATAAATTTACCATGATTTACTATCTGCATTGCATGGAAATGTTCCTGTGTATATTTTTTACCCCTGACTGTTTTCATCTACATAAAGCACACAAATGCATATAGATTTTCCTTTCAAATGAACTGTGGTGCCAAACATATTTTTTTCTATGTCTATCCTTATATTCATTTAAAATGCAATGTGAGGAATAAATATTCATGATTTCTGTCAAAGACAACCTCTCTTTTGGAGTTTAGTTAGTTCAATTTGCAAAACTTTTTGGCCCTTTTACTTTCCATCTTCATTGGAGTCATCAGTGTGGTGTTTCCGTTTATGAAGCTTTTAAAGGATCACTGTCATTCCAATTCAGCGCAGCATGTAGAAAATGAAGATACAAACTGACTTGTGCAATTAGATTAATTGTAATCAAGTCTACATATTTTTCATTACAGCTTAATTACTATTTAATCATGCATAAAATCAGAGAGTCTGTAAAAAAATGACCCTTAATTTGTGTGAATCATATGTATATAATATGCTGTAATGCTGAGCTGCCAGCAGATATGCCTGTTATAAACAGAATAGCTGTTTTTCACTTTTTCATATAAATCAGTGAAAGGTTTTGTCACTGCTTGTTAAAGAGAGTCTGTAAGCTAATGCAAACAAAAACGGAGTGTGTTGCTAATAGCAACAAATCCATAAGAAACTGGATGACAGAAGATACAATACTCTTGCCATTGTGAAATCAAATTGAGTCTTTAAAAATCCAAGTTCATTAACTTTAATTTGAAATACATATTTTTTGCAGTCTTAGAGCATGGTCATGAGATGGGAATCGGATTTGCTCATCTGTTGCTCTAAGTCAGGTATGGTATTGCTGTCATGTCCATGGCACAAGCAGAAAATTCCAGCTGACTGTTTTCTAAAGCAGGGTGGTGAAATAGTTTGAAAGGTTTGAAAACCTTGTCCAATCATTGCTACTTCCCAACAGGTAAGCTAGCACTAGCAGTGCTTCCTTACCATATCTTCACTGCAGAAGTATTATATACATTATTAAAAGGGTATTTGCATTCTACATGATCAATAACATTTTGCCGAGATATTAATAATTACAACACATGTTACATTTTTCATATTGACTTTATTTTCACTGCTGCAGAATTTGTGCATGTAGCACCTTCTGCAAAAAAAGTTATAGGCTTTAGTTTGTCATCAATACTTGGAAAGTATTAGGTAAGCAACTTTAAAGAATTTAGAACTATACAGGGAAAACCAATTTGTATATAAGAGGCATAGTTAGATGATCTAATCCAGGCTCACAATATGAGGTGGTAGAGTCATAAGTGTAAACTATTTTCAATCCAATGTGATTCAACATTTTTGCACAATGCGAACAAACTTAACACTCAGTTTTGAGTGGTGTATTTATTGTGTCATGTTTGACTCCATAGAGGCATAGAAAATTGTAGGGACATGGTAGATTACTATGATAGAGTTCTTATATACTGTACATATTCTGGAATATTTACTGAAAATATATGTAAAGTATCTACAGTGACCAAAAGAAGCCAATCAGAAATATGTATGCATTGAATTAGCGCGAGATAAAATCTTATTGTTTGTTCTCAATTATATTATTGCTATTATTATTATTATTATTATTATTATTATTATTATATTTTCTATGATATTGTAGTATGTA